ATATATATATTTTTTTTTTTTTTTTGTCAGAACTATTATCTACTTTTATATTAAAAAATGATAAAAAAATATTAATAACAAGTTCTTCAAAAAAAGAAAAGTTTGATCATTTTAGATAATTTCTGTAATTTTAATGCAGTCCAATGAGTCTGTTTTTCAAAGAAAAACAGAAGGTTGCACCCAAATGAGTGATTATCACTAAACATTAAAAAAAAAAAACCTTGCTACATGAACTTTTTTTTGTTTTGTTTTATGTCCCATTTTGTTCCAGTACTCAAGAATCAGTGAGAAGAGCGACAAGGGGATAGAAAGAGAAAAAGAGCGGGATGGCTAGATGGAGTGATAGAGGCTCAGGCTGGAATGAAGTCTTGATGAGTATCCTGTCCCAGCTCATCGTGTCTATAATACTTTTCTTGATCGCACATTTTTCACTGCCGCTGAATTCAATTGATCAATCATGTCTGTCTGATGGCACCATTTCAGCTGGTTATTACCACTGCGCTTGTCACGGTGACCTTTTCTTTCTGCACTGCACGCTCTTTCACACACCACACACACACACACACACACACACACACACAGGACACTGCTCTTTCTGTGCGTGTGTGTGTGTGTGTCTACACAAGTAGATTTCTACATTTTCTAAAGCTTGCAAAACTAGGGTGTTCTGGGTGGTTGTTAATCTGTTTCTCGAGTATTTATTGGGCAATGCACTGCTATACGATTGATTGGGTGAGCTAGGCAGTTGTTAGGGTGTTGCTAGGGGGTTCTGAATGGTTTCTAGGATATTGTTATGCCATTTTTAGGGTGTTCTTGGTGGTTGTTAACCTGTTTCTGTGTGATTTCTGGGATATTTACTGGGCAATGCATTTCTATATGATTGATTGGGTGAGCTAGGCAGTTGTTAGGGTGTTGCTAGGGTGTTCGAAATAGTTGCTAAGGCATTGTTATACCATTTCTAGGGTGTTCTAGGTGGTTGTTAAACTGCTGCTATATGATTGCTAAAGGATATTTAGTGGCCAATGCATTGCTATGACTAATTGAGTGAGTTGCTATGCTGTTGCTAGGGTGTTCTGAATAGTTACTAGGGTATTATGCCAATTCTAGGGCATTCTAGGTGGTTGTTAAGCTGTTGCTATGTGATTACTAGGGTATTTAGTGGGCAATGCATTGCTATACGATTGATTGTGTGAGTTGGGGGTTGTTATGCTGTTGCTAGGGTGATCTAAATGGTTGTTAGGGCATTATGTTGTTTCTATGGTGTTCTAGGTGGTTGTTAGCCTGTTTCTGTGTGATTTCTGGGATATTTAGTGGGCAATGCATTGCTATATGATTGATTGGGTGAGCTAGGCAGTTGTTAGGGTGTTGCTAGGGTGCTCTAAATAGTTGCTAGGGCATTGTTATGCCATTTCTAGGGTGTTCTGGGTGCTTGTTAAGCTCTAAGCATAGCATAGAACCCCTAGAACACCTATGCTATGTGATTACTTGGGTATTTAGTGGGCGATGCATTGCTATATGATTAATTGGGTGAGCTAGGCAGTTGTTAGGGTGTTGCTAGGGTGTTCTAAATAGTTGCTAGGGCATTGCTATACCATTTCTAGGGTGTTCTAGGTGGCTGTTAAACTGTTGCTATATGATTGATAAAGGATATTCATAGACAATACATTGCTATGACTAATTGAGTGAGTTGCTATGCTGTTCTGAATAGTTACTAGGGTATTATGCTATTTCTAGGGTATTCTAGGTGGTTGTTAAGCTGTTGCTATGTGATTACTAGAGTATTTAGTGGGCAATGCATTGCTATACGATTGATTGTGTGAGTTGGGGGTTGTTATGCTGTTGCTAGGGTGATCTAAATAGTTGCTAGGGCATTGTTTTGGCATTTCTAGGGTGTTCTAGGTGGTTGTTAAGCTGTTAAGCTCTGAGCATAGCATATAACCCCTAGAACACCTATGCTATGTGATTACTTGGGTATTTAGTGGGCGATGCATTGCTATATGATTAATTGGGTGAGCTAGTTGGTTGTTAGGGTGTTGCTATGCTGTTACTAGTGTGCTCTTTGTAGTTGCCATAGTATTGCATTTTGTTTCTATGTTGCTCTCAGTGTTTTCCAAGGTAGTTGATCAAATTTTCTGCATTTTTTAGCCTGACATGCGGTTTGCAGTTGCTCACTAGCCGAAACTGCATCCTCAAGTCTCTGAGCAATAGTAATAGTGATGCTTGACTTAGCCATGTGTTTTCCCCCCTTCACCCTGTTAAAGCTGCATGTTTCCGAGCAGGCGCTCTGTTTGGACAGCTCCCATGGGGGTCCTTGAGGTGGAGTGGGTATTTGCTGTATCGGGCGCAGGGGCAAATGAAGTCATTAATTAGGTGCCATTAGGGAGCCTGGGCCACAAAACTGATCAATACAACTGCATTTGTCATTCACACCAGTGACAACATCTTCCCACTCACTGGATGAGCAACACGCACATGTGCGCCCATTACTGCTCTGGCTTCCTCTGTTGTTCTGGCAGGAGCGATGAACGTAACGCTTCAGCTGCTTAGAGAAAATTGACTACTGAATCCACATGTGATTCCCACTGTGACCAGGAACCAACATCATTATATTACAGCAAAATCTGTTTAAAAAAATAAATCTAAACAATATTACAAGGAATATTAGATGTAGATATAGATATTGTTTATTATATTGCAACGCTCCGAGGAAAAAAAAGGTACAAAAGCTGTCATTGGGGAGTTACCCTTTTAAAAAGGCACTAATATGTACCATTTAGTTACAAATATGTA